GGCAGTGGTACCTCTGTTTTTAGATACATTATTTCTAATATGACAGCAAGCTACTGAACATGATGTCTACATGTGTGGAGTTATATGTAGTTAGAAATATGGCATTGAAGAGAGAGATCATAATTGGCCCTAAACATCTGAGAGTCATAAACTTAAGCATCTTAAAGAAAAAGTGAGTGAATGCAAAGCACAGGTTGGTGGTAATTTCTGGGGGGAGGCAAAGGCAGATGGGATCATGGAGGACCATTGAGGGATGATTTAAAAGTTATTGGGAGGGAAGTATAAGAGGACTAAATGGTAATGGAAAAAATACAATATATTTTTTTAAAGTTGTTGGTAATCTGGGTGGTGATAGATATATTTGCTATTATTATCAAAATCATATTTTAGTTATATATCATCTATAACAAATATATAACTATATATCTATATTGATATATATCTCATATATATCATACTTCATAATAAAAAGTAAAAAGAGCATAAGTAGAAATTATCTCTAAACAAAAATGTATAGTACCAGAAAGTGAAATTTTAATAGTTCAAATGTCTTTTTTAATTTCATAAAATGTGATTCCTTGTGGCACTTAGTTGGAAGAATTCAAGTGAGCACAATATTTTTCATAGTTTCTAGCTATTTTTGTACTTTCTAACTATTTTAGTTGCAGATGAACTGATGATGATATTTTTCTTAATTCTTTTTACTCTTGTGTAAACAAATATGACACATTGAGATTCCTCCCTCTTCACACTAATGCCTACTCTTCTACAAAATATGATTTCCAAACACTTAAAGAATAAAGAATGAAGGACTCATCCCTAAATCAGAGCCCATATTAATAAATGCCCAATTTAAAGCACAGCGTATGTATGAGTTACTTATTGCCATAATAATGCCTTATAGCAAATCACTTTAAAACTTACTGGCTTGAACAATAAGAATATTGGTACCATCCCTTTGTTAGGTTGGTTGGGAGATTCTCATGATCTGGAATGGGCCTATTCCTGTGCCCACAGTCTGCTGTGGATGAGCTAGGGGCTCTGCTGATCTCAGCTAGGTTCTCTCCTAGCTAAGATCATTGACTATCAGCTTGCCTAGGAGGAACTCCATGGGAAAACTGGAGCAATTCTGCTCTTGCATGTCTTATCCTCTAGCGGGCTAATCTGAGCATTTCTTCATGCAAAGGTTGAAGAGGAAGACAAAAAGAAAATATATTCAAGGACATTTCTGGAGTTCTAGTATATTTTTACAAGCTCTGTTGACACCATGTTTACTAGCAATTGGCCAAAGCAAGAATTAGGGACAGAAGGGAACACTGGCCAGAGTGGGAGGATGCTGCATATTACAGAGTAAAGGGCATGGACACAGGAGAGGGTAAAGAATAAGGCTACTGATGCAATTTGTCTGCCACGATATAGCCTTACTCCCCCCTCCAGGACCTTCTCTATCCTATCTGTGATTTCCTGCCTATCCAAATCTTATATCTTAGTCTTTCTCTGAGGCTCAGTTTATGTGACCTTGACTCAATAAGTGATCGCTCCAGCCTCCTTGACCACCCAAGACCTTAAGCCACTCATTAGCTTCCATCATTTCTCTGTTGCATCTATATTCTTTAATATTATTTCATAATTGACTGTCCAATCAGACAGTGAGGTATTAAGGAAGGGAATTTGTTTCATAACCTTACAGAGTCTGATAGAAGCTGTAAAGAAATTGGTCCTTCATCAGTAGTTTTGATTCTTTGTTCATTGACTTATTTTTGCAAATGTACTCATTTGTAAATCTTTTTTTTTCTGGAATTCTAGTATATCAACATTTATTTTTGGTGGTAATTAGGTATAACCCACCAATTCTTTCCTTCCTTTTTCCTCCTTTTTCCTCCCTCCTTCCCTTGCTTCCTTTGTTCTTCCTTCCTTCTTGATATAGTTTTTTCTCTTTTCTCTAACTACATTTCTCTAGATATGAAGATTTTGACTTATTGGGGATAAAGAGGGTCAAAACCCTTTTCATCACAGTTAATTAGATTTGTAACTTGCTTTTCACAATGAGTATTTCTTCAAGCATATTACCTGTATATACTTCTCCCCTCCCCAGCACCCCCCAAAAGAGCAGTTATCAAAACACATTAAAAGGCACAGCTTCCTAAAACATCAATCTGTGTTTTTAATTTATTAACTACCACTACAAAGCTACAAACCTGTCTAAATTACACATGTGAACTGTATTGATGTCAAAATATGGCTAATTTGAGTGCTGTCCTCAGTATTGATCTCATTATCTCATTTATATATGTGTAAAACTTTGCTGTAATCCAAATCCCAACATCTGAATAATTTATGCAAAGTCCAAAGACATGTCAAGCTAGCAAATAATTTCAGGATCTTTACAGATATACCAGGTAAAAGCACAGAGCTGGGAAGTAGAAAAGAAGCGACACAAGTCATGTTAGGTGAGCTGTTCAAGAGGAAAGAACACCAGATATCAAATACAACCCTTCAATTTCTCAGTGAAAAGTGTAAGAAGAATCTTCAGGGTCTAGATTTTCCACCATGGAGATGACCTTAGCCTCGCCATCAGCAACAAATATTTGAAAGACTAAAAGCAAAATCCACATTAGATTTATCATAATTAAGCTGCACTTTGGAATGGGAAAGGTAACTGGGAAACACACTATTTGAAACTGAGATCAATTGGGCAAGAAATATAATAAAGCATTATTATCCTCATTATGGAGTTGAAGAAACTTAACTGTATAATAAACAAAGAAGTTGAATGCCTTGTCCAAGTTCACACAGCTAGCAGGTGCAAGGGACTCTGGACTCTCCTCCAGCTTTAGAATTACTTTCCTTTGCTTCCTCAACAGGTGGTTGAAAGCACAACCTCCCATATATGTAAAACATCACAAATTAACTGAAAAAGGACTTCCTGACAGCCAGCAGGAGTCTGCTGGAGAGAAAGAGCAGAGAGCTTTTCTTGGTTTTTAAAGATTGTGTGATCCAGTTTAATTAGGGTCACAACCTGTTATTATTTCTTCAGACAGGTAAGAAAAACAAAATGAAGGTTATGAACATGGGAGAAAATTTTTGTTCATTTTAAAGCAAGCCTTCTTTTCAAAGAATGTGCTTATTCTTCACTGTTCTCTCATCTAAACCCTACTGTGGCATTTAGCTTGGTGTCTCATGACAGAGTATCTTTTCACCTTTTTTTTAATTTGTCTTTTTTGAATGAGCTGCACCCTCTGTGTCCTGATTTACCTGGGGACATTCTCTCACATAGCCAGGTTGGTCTGTCTGCTCCTGGCCCTACTGTTCTCATGAGAAAGAAGAGAAAGGGGGCTCATTGCCTGTAGTGTGTGAAAATGGGAGTAAGTAAGGTGAGGGCCCAGAGTGGCAGGTATTGTCCTGAGGCATGAATGGATAATCACTCCTGTCAGGGCAAATAGACTCTGTCACAGGAATTCGGTGGTTTTCTAGAGGAAATGAGGTTTCCCTGCAGGCTGCCAAGCCCAAATGAGCTCCTTACAGCACCTGCAGATCTGAGCATCAAGCAATTATTCCACTATCTTGCCTAAAAACAAAGACCCGTGCTACCCTTTGACAACCTCTGACCTTTTCCAGCTAACATAAACTAATTATATTTGCAGCAGGAGGGGAGGAAGGCTTTCAGAGTCCTTCGTGGGAGTTGTCCTTCATGCTTTGTGCCACGTTGTCAGTTCTGGCAATCCAAAAAACGACCTCCCTGCAATCAAGGGAGTTGCTAGATGAAGCGTTTAAAAAGATACAGGGAGACCCTTATGACATGCAAAGCTCACTGCCCAGGATTTACCAACGGGCCTGAGTGACCCACACTATCCATTTAGCAGTGGTACAAGGGAGACATTGTTAAATGTCACTTAGCAATTATAGCCTGGTCAAACAGTTGTTGTGTTTTGTTTTATTTTTGGACAACTTGTTAATGGGCCTACAATTAGGTGTAAGAAATAACCCAAGCCATGGGCACTGGAACAAGGTTAGAGGTTAATTGAGACTTTCTTTCCCAACAGCTTGAGATTTTGCAAACTTTTGCTGAGAGGACAGTCTTGAACAAGAAGGAGATAATATGATACAATTAGTTGGAAAGCAGGAGGGTCAAAATTCCCAGATGAGAAAGGAAAGCTGGCCAAGAAAATCAGGCCAGAGGGACCACCTGGGCCACTTCAGATGCCAAGAATATCTGTGGCCATTCATCTGGTGGATGAGGCAGAAAGTGGTGTGCCCGCCATTCATCACATCCCTCCTCTCTACCAAAGAAAATACAAGGTCAATGCTATAAACAGTAGGCACCCCAGAGTAATTGAAATTCCAGAAAGTGCCTCATTAGAAAAGCTCACAAACAATCAGGTTTTTCTTTTCCTATTGAAGGTATATTCCAATCTTGAAAGTGTGTACCTGGCCTTCTTCATGGTGGCTGGGGGTGCAGGGGGATTTTCTGAGAGTTATTGTGCCTAAATAAATGGGTGACTTTGCAATTGAGAGGAAGCAGCCCATCGGGATCGCTGGGGCTTGCTTGCTATGCCATGGCACACACATAGCCACACCTGCTCAGTCTCTTAACCCTATCAAAAGAGCCTCTCTTTCTCCATCCCTTCTAGGTCATAATCAACATATTGTATCTTAAGTTCAGCAGCAGCTGCTCTTTGTCTAACAACTCAAGTCCCTGAAACTATTATTGGAGGTTTCTGGGATTTAATATGTCTTCAAGTTCTTTTTTAAACCCCCTCCTTTGCTCCCACCCGCAGCACAAACTTTGACACATCCAGCTGGCAGATCCCACTGACTGGAAGTTGACTAAAAATTGCCAACTCATTTTCTTTCTTTCTTCCTTTTTTTTCCAGTGCAGCTGGTGCCAACATGTGATGATTTGTTTTGCTCTAGTCACTGAAGTTTTTGTTTTCTTTTATTTCAACCCCCTGCTGGCTTCCCAACTTGGTGCTGAGTCATCTGGTGCAGGTGTTCTAAGCGGCTGGTATTTATGTCACTTGCAGATGGTTTGGGTAAATTACACGATGTTCCTGCAGCCCTGTTGAGGCTTTCTCCGCTCCCTTTGATCCATGGACTTCCTGTGGCTCCTGCACATGTGCAGAACTTCAGGGCACTGGGTGAGTACTTGGGTGGATTCTATCCAAAGATGGTTAGGTTGCTCTGGGCCTAACAGTCTAATGAGATCCAACTGAGGCTAAGAGAAGTTGACTAGAACAGAGAACCCTGAAATCACAAGGCACCACAAGCTTAACTTACAAAAGTAATTATATACTAAATGTGTAATAGAACACAAATAAGTTAATGCTATAGCTGCCTAAGGAAATTGGGGTAAAAGGGGCCACATTCTATCTCTGAAGAAGAGGAAAGTTATGTTGGAGAAGTAAGACCTAGTGTAATGAAACTGTTAAGTCTTAGAAATATGTATCTAGTGTTTCCTTTTTCTTTTCCCCTTGTCTAACTCCACAGTGTCTCCAGCCCCTCTTCCAGTGATGCATGTGAAGGCTGGGTCACAGGTAAGAATCTGAAAATCTCACTTATTTATACTCTAGATACAGGACCAATCAGAAACACAAATTCTTGCCTTTTTTCATCTGAGAAGGCTGTCCTTTGTTATATAGCAATATGCTCCACTTGGAAAGGCTCAATGAAGAACCTTCTTGTGGAGATTTATAACTTAGCAAAAGAAATCTCTGTGTGGCCATTGCCAAAGATACAAAATGTTAACAGTATTTCAAAAGCATTTTCAGAAACAGGATTTTGGCAGAGCTGTGCTTTACTAGTACTATTGAAATCTCACCACTATAGGCTACTACATTGATTCTTACAAAGTGACCAAGCTTCTAAAGGGTTCCCCAGGAAGAGTGAATTTCAGTGCTAAAACCAAGACAGTTATGGGCAAGCAGTAGCTACCCTGATGTGTGTATGGAATTATGTGAGGAACTTGGTTAAAATGTAGATTTCTGGGTCTCAACCCTAGAGGTAATGAGTCAGTTGGTCTGGGGTAGAGCCTGAGGACTTGCATTTCTAACAAGCTCCAGGGTGATTGTAAAATTGCCAGATGAGGGCTACACTTTGAGTTGAAAGCAGATAGAACATTCTTTACTACTTTCTTGCAATTTCTAAAGAGATTACATGTATGGGAAGATAAAGTGAAGAGCACAGATGCTAGAGCAGCACATATAAAACAGAAAACCATTATTACTTGTTTAATGTGATTCACCCTGGTTGAATCAGGCCATGGTTGCCATAAGAAACAACCACCATGAAATCTCTGGCATACAACAATAAATATATACTCACATTGACAGACCACAGGCTCCAAGTGGTTCAGCCAATCTGGGCTTAGCTTGGGAGTAGGGGGAGGTAGGGTATCTTTTAGTCTGTAGGTTGGCTGTAGGTCCTCCCACGTATTTCCTTCTGGAAACCTGACACATATTTTCTCATGGTGCAGATCAGAAGTAGAAACATGATATTTCTGGAAGTTTAAGCTCAAAATTGGCACAATAACACTTATACCCACATTCCATTGGCTATAAACAGTCAAGCCTGGAATCAGTAGAGTAGGGCAGTACATTCTTCCATTGAAAGTTCATAAGGAAGGAGTAAATATTTGCTGAATAATAATCTTTTATACTACAGTGGTCTCTGAGTTTAACAATACCCAGCTGGGTACCTGAAATACCAGATCTGCCCAGAAAAGGTCCAGTCATTGTTAATATAAGAAGACTGGTTTGTGTGACATTGATGTAACCTGGCATCCAAAGAGAGTGGACTGCAAAGCACATGTGTGAACAATGACAACTTCATTGTACTAGTTATTGGAGACAGTAGAGGCTACTGAGTGAGCATGTGTACTGTGTGGCCAATCACATTCAAAATGACTGAGGTTTGATCTGCAAAATGTATAAAGAACTCACACAACTCTACTCCAGGAAGACAAACAATCCAATTACAAAATGGACAAATGACCTGAATAGATACTTCTCCAAGATGGACATACAGAGGACCCAGAGACAAATTAAAGGATACTCAGCATCTGTAGCCATCAGAGAGATGCAAATTAAAACCACAATGAGATATCACTTCACACTAGTGAGAATGGCCATCATAAACAAAGCAACAAACAATAGGTACTGACAAGGTTGTGGAAAAAAGGGAACTCAAGTACATTGTTGGTGGGAATGTAGACTGGTGCAGCCATTGTGGAAAACAGTATGGAATTTCCTCAGAAAACTAAGGAACCACCTTAGTTTTATGGAACCACCTTTTGACCTGGCAATTGCACTGCTGAGATTATACCCTTTCGGATCTTGAAACACCAATTCAGAAGAACCAATGCACCCCAATGTTCATAGCAGCACAATTTACAATTGCCAAGTGTTGGAAGCAACCTAAGTACCCATCAGTAAATGAGTGGATCAGAAAACTATGGTACATTTACACAATGGAATACTATGCAGTAGAAATAAAGAGGGAACTCCTACTCTTCATGCCAGCATGGATAGAACTAGAGAGCATTATTCTAAGTGAAATAAGCCAGGCAGTGAAAGACAAATACCATATGATCTCACCTATAAGTGGAACATAATCAACAAAACAAACAAACAAGCAAAATATAGCCAGAGACATTGAAATAAAGAATAAAATGACAGTAACCAGAAGGGTAGGGGAACGCAGATAATGAGAGAAAGAAGGGGAAGTGTTGTCAAATAACATGTAATATAAAGGACACATGGACAAAGCCAAAGGTGGGTAGGATTGAGGGTGGGAGGTGGGGGTGGGTGTGAGAAAGTGCTGGCGGGAAAATAGAGACAACTGTATTAGAACAACGATAAGAAATAAATTAATAACTTTTTAAAAATGACTGAATGAGTAGAGCAACAAATCTGTATCAAATTTTGTGTTAAGCTTGAACACTCCATCGTACAAACAATTTGGACGATTCAGAAGGCCACAGATATGGGCAACTGATGATTGGCAGCTTCATCAGGACAACATGCCCACTTCATGTATCATGTGTTGTACAGAGCTTTTTGGCAAAACATCAAATCACCCAGGTAACTCAGCTCCCCTACAGCCCAGATTTGGTGCCCTGCAACATCTGGCTTTTCCCAAAACTAAAATCATCTTTGAAAAGGAAGAGATTCCAGACTGACAATGAAATTCAAGAAAATTGGGGCAGCTGATGGTAACAAAGAGAACTGTATGAGGTCCCAAAGTACCTACTTTGAAGGGGACTGAAGTGTCATCTTCCTATGCACAATGTTTCTTGTATCTTGTATCTTCTTCAATAAATGTCTCTATTTTTCCTATTACATGGCTGGATACCTTCTGGACAGACCTGGTATAATTGCTAACTGTTTCATAACCTATAACCAATTTTCATTTTCACTTAACATTCAGGTAGGAATAGTTAGTTACCAATAGACTGAGGGACTACATATTAATTATATTTAAATTATAATTCATTAAAACATAAACCTAAAAACTGAAGCCATGTAAAATATTTTTTTATTAAACACAATTTTATCACTTTGGTAAAAAATACTATAATACAGATCTCAGTTACTTTCTATTAAAGAAATTCCCTTGACATTTTACCTTATTTGATTTCTCTGTGAGAAACCAAATAGAATATAGAATATGCAAATTGTACCCAAGTTACAAGTTTTTGTTTAGGAATAAGTGTATTCCTAAATACTTAATCTTATTTTATCTGAAATATTCTACTTCTCATCTTCATTATCTTTTCTTCTGAAGTCCTCAACCAATTTCCATTCCATTGAATAAACCTGCAGATTCAGAAGTTTTTCCTACACAGATATTACAAATACCTCCTGTTATAATATCATGTAAGAGATTTAGGGAGAAAGCAAAATAACTGTCAAAGTATGTAGATAAATTATCTAAGAAAACATTTTGACTATAATATTAATAGAACCATTATGTTCTTTAAACACATAAATTGTTTCTGTTTTTCAGCAAAAGCCATTAAATATAAGGATCTACCATTATACTATGATAAAGTGTTTTTTCTTATCATTGGCTGGGCCTTTGGAGGATCAGTGTTTCCAGAATTTGGTCTTTGCATCCATTGCTCACTGACTAGATTTTTTTTCCAAGTGAACATGAGATTTTCATTGGTTTAGCAGAGGAATGTCTTTATCAAAGTTAAGGAAGTCATTTCCTATTTGTACACCTTAAGAAACAAACATTTGTGACTGAGACAGAGAAGAATTCTCCATTATTAAAAGACTGGCCAATTTCTTAAACTTTTCTTGCTGGGTCACAGTGACCTGCCTATATGTTGGTGGGAAGCTCCTGGACACAGTATTTTAATAAGTCATCAGTTAGGATTGTTTCTCCAAAAATTACTAACCTTACATCTGCTATAAAGGTTCAGAGGCAAATCCATTTCGTGCTGCTAATTACTCCAAGAATTTTATGCAGATGAAACCTGGTTAAAATGAATGACCTTAGCAGCTTTGAAGGGGAAAAACAAGAAGAGGGTTATACTAAAAGTCTAATATGCAACCTAGTAAGTATGCAAGAAAGTAATGATGGATATTGTTAACAAGCATTTGCTACTCAAGATGATCCTTCTAGAGCTGTTCTTTCAAAATCATAGTCACTAGCACTATGTGACCATTTAAATTTAAATTTAAGTTAATTAAGATAAAAAATTCAGGTCCTCAGTCAGTCACATTAGCCACTTTCAAGTCCTCAATAGCCACATGTGACTAGGGCTACCGTGTTGGAGAGCACAGACATGGACTGTTTTCATCATTGCAGAAGTTGTCAGAGGGGATACAGTTCCTGTTACACTTCTATCCAGTTATTTTCCAGGGTGTGCCATTGGATGCCACTGAATTCTAGGTGCTTTACAAATATTGTCATTTGATTCTTACCTCAGGAAATAAGAAATATCCATGGGTTACTTTGAGAAAAATGAGGTGAAGTGAAAATAAGAGCTGACCCAAGATCATAATTAAGTCAATTCATTTGAATCAAAGGAACTTTATTTTTTTTTAACTGACAGCTACTGTTACTGAGATAACTGCCTAGAATTAAGCAATAGATTCTGCCACAGATCTGGAGGTATAGGGACAAGAATAGGGACCATGTCCAAGCAGGAAAAAGAAGAAAAAGTACAGGGTATTTGTGGTCTCACCAAAGAGTTGAGATTCAGTAGGAACAGTTGGCACAGGCACAGGAAACTGAAGCAGAAGTTCAGTTATAGGATCTGGGCAGTGAGACAAAGGTTGTACTTAGGAGGTTTGTGGGTTCCCAGGCTCACCCTAGAAACAAGGCTAAGGACCTCAAGACTGATGTTGAAACCACTAAGTGGACAGATTAGGATCCTAGTTTACTTCTAAGATTAAGTTGGATCCAGTGTTTAGAGGGAGGAAGTTAGGAACCTATAGTTCAAATACAGACTGCCATTCTCAAAGCCTTGGAATAAAGAAAATCCATAATCTCTTTCTCTTTTGAAACTCAATTTAGCCATGAAATT